AGAAAATTAGAGTTTGTGACAAAGAGTCAATTCCTTTATTGACAGATCCTTTAAAGTGCACAAATTCGTTTACAGTCCCTTTAAAGTGCACAAATTTGTTGAAAGTCCCTTTAAAGTACACAAATTTATTGACAGTCCCTTTAAAGTGGACAAATTTGTTGACAGTCCCTTTACAGTGCACAAATTTGTTGACAGTCCTTTTCAGTGCACAAATTCGTTGACAGCCCATTTTAAATACACAAATTTGTTGACAGTCCCTTTAAAGTGCACAAATTTGTTGACAGTCCCTTTCAGTGCACAAATTCGTTGACAGTCAATTTAAAATGCACAAATTTGTTAACAGTACCTTTAAAGTTCACAAATATGCTGACAGTCCCTTTAAAGAGCACAAATTTGTTGACAGATTTAGGGCAAAAATGTTAATTGGACACAAACAGTTTTCTTAAAAATTTAGAAATGTTGCAAACATTGTAAAATTTAAACAAAGCTGTTTCCGAGAAATCTAAATTAGTATTTCAATGTTTTTCAAAACACTTTTCTGCTGTGTATTGTACATTAAATTGGCATGAAACGATGTTTTTCATGCCATTTATATATTTCATGCATTTTTGGATTACCGAAAATTAAATTTCATTTATACAAATGTGTTAAAGGGAATATAAGCATATTTTTAAGTGATCCTCCATGCAAAGATGGCAATGTCTGATTCAAAACGATACCCTTGAAACATCTATCTGATCAATAATGTGGAAGATATTGTCGTTTTTCTAGCTTTCTAAATGCTTAACTCAGACAAATTCTATATATTTTCCTGTAGTAGAAATGTGCAAGTCACTTCCCGGGTAGAATCTTAGAGTCTGAAACCTAGTCTTAGACGCCGGGCCGACCTCCTCAGACCCTCTGTTTTTGGAAAAAAATATCAAATTTCAACCTTTAAAGTGCACAAATTTGTTGACAGTCCTTTTAAAGTGCACAAATTTGTTGACAGTCCTTTTAAAGTGCACAAATTTGCGAACAGTCCCTTTAAAGTGGACAAATTTGCCGAAAGTCCTTTTAAAGTGCACAAATTTGTTGACAGTCCCTTTAAAGTGCACAAATTTGTTGACAGTCCTTTTAAAGTGCACAAATTTGCGAACAGTCCCTTTAAAGTAGACAAATTTGCGAACAGTCCCTTTAAAGTGGACAAATTTGCCGAAAGTCCTTTTAAAGTGCACAAATTTGTTGACAGTCCCTTTAAAGTTCACAAATTTGTTGACAGTCCCTTTTAAAGTGCACAAATTTGCTGACCGTCCATTTAAAGTGCACAAATTTGTTGACAGTCCCTTTAAAGTGGACAAATTTGCCGACAGTCCTTTTAAAGTGCACAAATTTGCCGACAGTCCCTTTAAAGGCACAAATTTGTTGACAGATTTAGGGCAAAAATGTTAATTGGACACAAACAGTTTTCTTAAAATTTAGAAATGTTGCAAACATTGTAAAATTTAAACAAAGCTGTTTCCGAGAAATCTAAATTAGTATTTCAATGTTTTTCAAAACACTTTTCTGCTGTGTATTGTACATTAAATTGGCATGAAACGATGTTTTTCATGCCATTTATATATTTCATGCATTTTTGGATTACCGAAAATTAAATTTCATTTATACAAATGTGTTAAAGGGAATATAAGCATAATTTTAAGTGATCCTCCATGCAAAGATGGCAATGTCTGATTCAAAACGATACCCTAGATCTGATCAATAATGTGGAAGATATTGTCGTTTTTCATATTTGAAAATTATAAACTTGATATCTAATTCGAATCAGACAAAACAAAAATTCAACTCCGTGAGAGTATGATCTATCAAATAATATAATTAACAATAATAATTTAAGTTTTACTTCAGATTAATCATGACCCATGATGACGTACTACAGATTGAATTTGTTCTCTACAACTTGTGTTGATCCATCTGGATTTATTAGTCACCTTCTCAGGTTTCTTATTTGTGAAATAACTCGTATATTCAGTCCAAATATATTATTTAATCCTAAATAGGGCTTAATATTTGATTTGAAATAAGTTTATTAATTTTAAAACCTATTCTATAAATGATAGTTTACATTTTTGGCATAAAAAAGGGTAGGATAGGTCCAACACAATTTAATACAGAATGATCACATTTCAGAACTGTTTAAATCAATATGTCTAACCATAATTTCAATATTTAGTATATAATGTTAGTGTAGTATAGTAAACAATCCCGGTCTTTCTACACGACCAAGGAAAGATCTGATCTTTTTTTACAACCTGCTATTGTTCTTATTTCCTATAAATAGCTAATTTCCCCACCTTTGATATAGTTACATTAATGTATCCTCAATTTGAATAATAATTCCTCCATATTGTATGTTGTATATTGATATATATTCTTAAAGTGTTGACACAATTTCAAAAGTAAACAAACTTTTCATTTCAAATTCAACCGATATGACCTTGGAAATATATGTAATATATTTATCTATGAATTTAAAGTATGTTTGGTTCAATATATATATATATATTTATATTTATATTTATATATTTATATAAATGTATATATGTTTGTCCATAAAAAGTACCTAAATTCTAGATAGAAAATGTAATTTAATTATTATTTATTTATTTATTTCCAACGATTTCGGTAAAGCTTCTCTTCCGCTTAATGGTTAAAAGTATGAATCATTAAAATCTTGAAATTATGCATTGAAATAAGATGGTTGGAAACCACCAGAAATGTGTGTAATACATTGTATCCTACTGGGTGTGTGTTAGTTAGTCAGAGTGTGTGTCTGTCATGCAATTTTCTGTGAGATAAGTATGGATGACTCATGTGACTTCATGTAGTCCTGCCCAGAGATAATATAACAAAGCTTTGTTGTTCATAATGGATAAAGAAACCAAAACAAAGCCATCACAACCATAATAGAAATAGTAAAGCATAAAAAAATTAAAACATAAAATATGAAAAATGGTAAGAACTAGGATTTCCACTTTAACAGACTAAACTCTACTTTGAAAATTTATTGAACCATAAAACTTCTGCAAAAAAAGCTGAATTTAACAGTTGGGGAACTGTAACACTTTTTCACCCTAGAAACTCGCTTCATAAGAAAAGTTGTTTAAATAAGGGAAATTTAATTGGATCAAAATTGGGAAACCCTAAACTCAAAACAGAAAAAAAAAATCCTACTTATTTTACAAAAACATGAAATCTATTTGAAAACACACACGGATATCCTGTTTATTTTACAAAAACAGGAAATCTATTTGAAAACACACCCGGATATCCTGTTTATTTTATAAACACATGAAATCTGTTTGAAAACACACACGGATATTCTGTTTATTTTACAAAAACATGAAATATTTCAAACAAAATTTAGCAAAAGTGAAAATTCGGAGCAGAAAATCTAAAAATATTTAGTTTTATACATATTGTACTTGTTATCCTCACTCATCACAGAATTGGAATTACTCATGTGACTTTTTTGAAGATTTTCCAAATTTAAAAATGAAGTATTTTTCTGAAAAAAATTGTTTTTGAAAGTTTGTCTGTCTGTCCTTAAAATTTGACCTTTAATGACAACAATATATTGATTTAATTATTTCTTGATTAAAATTTTAAGAATTGAGGGTTAATATAATACAATTTGAACAGAATAACATGAAATTATGTGTCTTTAAGAAATTTATGTTTCCAAACTTTTTTGCTAAAATTCATAGCAAAAATATATCGACGAATTCTGGTTAACCTATTAGGGAAAATGTCTGTACAGTGCACAGTGTACAGCCTAGAGTGTACACATTGATCAGTGTACAATGTGAAGTGTACGGTGTGCAGTTTGAAATGTGAAGTGTAATGGGTTAAGTGTACAATTTGCAATATATAGCAAGTGAAGTGTGCAGTAAACATATTGCAGTGTTCAGTGTACAGATTGCAATGTTCAGTGTGCAGTGTGCATTCTGAAGTTTGCAATGTACAGTTTGCAGTTTAAATTGCACAGTGTACAGTTTTTTTTTATTATTTAACAACGACAACGAAAAATAAAGTAAAAATTATACAGTAATCTGATTAGATGGTTAGGAACATATTTCTCAAAAGAATTTTTCAATAAATCAATGCTAAAATCCATTATTTCGTTTTCAGTATTATATTGAATTACTTATTTTCTTTGAATTTATTCGCAGATTTCTTCAAATTCTTCAAATGTCGTCTTTTCAATAATAGTTCTAGAAAATTTGCAGAAATGAGAAACCAGAATAATGAGAAAATAGAAACTAATAATTGAACAAGATTACTTAATTTCGATGATAAGATTAGTTTATATTTTCTCAACATGTTCCTATACATGACGTCTGCAGTTTATTGTAGAACTTTTTTACATTTTATGTCGTCATTATTTAATAATTTCAAAAACTAATTTTGAAAACGTATCCACCCCCAAAATATGAATTTTGAACATCAAATTTGCTCTGAAACTCAGGATTTACAGATCTTTAAAAAGTTTAATATGTCTTAAATGAATCTGAAAGAAGTTTTTCACAACACTGCATACTCAGTTCAATTACCTTACATAGCTTGTCACTCCCTTTAAAGATATAATTGTTAAGGTATCCTGTGATGAAAGGGAAAAAGGAAAGAAGTTTTTGCCGGGCCACAAACTTTGATTTTCTAATCCCTATATCTTTGCAACCGGATATTGTAGAACTTTGATACTTCACTCTATGAATTGTGTTAGATCGAATAGTCTAAGTTTGAAATATCTAAGGTTAACAATATCAGGCTACACAGATATAGGGACTAATAAATTAAAGTTTTTAGCAAAAACTCAATAGCTTTTTAAAAAGTAACATAGTCAAAAATAAATCTATAAAATTTTTCACTATGTATTATAAATTCAAATGAATAAGACTAAAAAGAAGATGACTGCGTGAAGTCCTATAGGCGCGGTGTAAAGCCAGAGTTCCGAGCCCACGCACTTGGCTTAGCGCCAGACTGCTGAAAGCTTCGGGTGAATTCTACTCTTCTCTATCCTACAGTATTTTTAGCCCGGACTTCAAACCCCTGCACTAGTTCTCTTGTCTAGTTCACAGTGAGCACTGAACATTGTGAGAGTTTAATATGCCTGAGAAACAGCTTGAGTTGTCTAGAAGAAATGCATTCTTCACTGATCCCTTCTTTACAGATCTCAGAGCAGGTCTTGGAGGAGATCTGGAGAGAAGGCTAGCAGAGGTGTCAGCTAGATCAATGGGACTTGCTGGAGCTGGACTTAGCGAAGCAGCTCATAACATCCAAGTGTCAGCTTCAAATGAAAAGTTTCAGATTCAACTAGAACTCCCTGGATTTGCTCCAGAGGATTTTGGTCTGAAGACTAAAGATGATATTGTAATTGTTGAGGCTGTCCATGAGTCCACTGAAGATGGATCTTCTGGAACTCGAAGGTTTATCAGAGAGTTTAAGATGCCAGCAGGCGTTGTTCGGGAAAAACTGTCCAGCACCTATTCAGGAAAGGGTATTCTAACGGTTTCAGCACCTCGAGTCCTCACTTGCCCTGAAGGAGCTGAAATTTCCGAAGCTATGAAAGCACAAAGTCAGGCTTATGTAACTGACGATGGCACTGCTGTAAAGAAAGATGAAAAGGCAAGCAGCCAAAGCATTGCTGCTACAACTCAGTCCCCAGATGGATCAACCACTTCAAGCTTTAAATCAACATCATCCTCTTCATCATCGTCAACTATGATGTCATCAGGAGGGCCAATGCCAGGAGGTATGATGTCTATGGGAGGTATGGGAGGAATGGGAGGAATGGGAGGAATGCCTAGCTTGGACATGGATGGCATGATGAGCAAAATGATGTCAGGAATGGGAACCATGGACATGAGTTCTGGTCTGTCCAAGTCCTCTTTTGCCTCCTCCTCATCGTCCAGTTTCTCCAGCTCTAGCTCTTCCTCCATGATGTCCTCCAGTAATATGCTTGGAGGAATGGGGATGCCTCCAATGCGTGGGATGGAAATGCCTGGTTTATCTTTCGAAGAAATGTCCTCCATGCCCCCCACAGCCTCAACTGTAGGTGAGAAGCCTGAGTACACGGTGACCTCCCCTCCAATGTCTCCTCCTCCTCCAGAAGAGATGAACCACAAGGTTTACCAGACTGAAGATTATGTTCCTCCCACCACCCAGACAGCTGAGGCAACGGTTCTTCTCAAAGTCAAGGAGGGAAACGAATACAAGCTTGCTCTCAACATGCAACAGTTTACTCCAGACGACATCACAATCAAACTCAACGGAAATGAGCTGACCATTGAGGCTAAAAACGGTGGAGAGTCCTTCAAGCAGAAACATATGATCCCTGAGAATATTGATCTTGATGCAATGTCATCTTCATTTTCTTCTGACGGAGTTCTAGTTATTAAAGCACCTAAAAAGTAATACCCCCCCCCCCTCCATCCTTCTTCGTTCTATGGAATTTGTATCAAGTATTTTCGTTCCTAAGATTTTACAAAGCTTTGTTTGTTCCCGTGATTTAGCAAAATCTGTATTTATTAACAATTGCCCTTTTTATTAATTACATATACATTCACAATCTGATAAATCTTTCTATGCGATCAGTTATTGTTCATGCTATTTATTACTTTCATAATAAAGTTTTATTGCTGAATTATACATTTATTACATTGATATTCAACTACAAACAAAATTTATAATATCTATTATCATGATAACATTATAATCTTAAACACTTTTTTAATAGTGTTTTGTGATTTTTTTAATCTTATAAATCCTGAACAATTTTCTTGTGTAAATGGTTTTAGAAAATTCAATGAATTTGAGAGAAAAGGAGATTATTGTTAAAATATTATTCATACTTTATAGTTTATTTTGGTTTATTAAAAGAGAAATATGCAAAGCATGTTTTTATTTAGTTTTCCTACTCATTAGTCCTCATGCTTTTATTTAGTTTTCCTACTCATTAGTCCTCATGTTTTTATTTAGTTTTCCTACTCATTAGCCCTCATGTTTTTATTTAGTTTTCCTACTCATTAGCCCTCATGTTTTTATTTAGTTTTCCTACTCATTAGTCCTCATGTTTTTATTTAGTTTTCCTACTCATTAGTCCTCATGCTTTTATTTAGTTTTCCTACTCATTAGTCCTCATGTTTTTATTTAGTTTTCCTACTCATTAGTCCTCATGTTTTTATTTAGTTTTCCTACTCATTAGTCCTCATGTTTTTATTTAGTTTTCCTACTCATTAGTCCTCATGTTTTTATTTAGTTTTCCTACTCATTAGCCCTCATGTTTTTAGTATAGCACCTAAATGCCTTTGCGAACTATATTATACTCTATGAATTCGAAAGTAAAGAAATTGGATAATTTGGTTTGTTTTAAATATGGTTTTTTAAAATATTTTTCTATAATTGTGAAAAACGGGACCGTTTTGAGCGCGAGCACTGTAATTGTTGACATTTTGCTGCATACAATGTATAATCCTAAATTATACTGATTAAAAATAAATATAGCTTTAGTCGAACTCTAATCCTAAAACTGTAAGTACTTAGTTTAAAAGTCAATTTGAAAGATAAATCGAATTAATTATATTTAAAAGGCAAATACAGTTGCACAATGCACAAAGATCCAGACTGCTTAGATTTTACTTTACTACTTCACTCAAACCTTTCTGTAGTCCTTACCATGTATGTTTTAGGGATATTGAACACTTGTTATATAGCTTTTGTTCTTTAGCAAAATTTTCATAGGGTTTTGCGTGAGAGCTTTGAAGCACTGTGGTTGGCTAACCAGGCATTATTTCGCATCATTTGTATTATTTGCAAATATCAAAGTTGGCACGAATTCATGCATTTACATCCAACACATTTTGCAAAGACAAAAACTGTTTGTTCAACCAAGCACTTTATTGAAATGTGTAGTAAATACCTTACTCCTAATAAAATCGTTCAGACCCGTATCAATCCAGGCACAACTCAATCCATCTCGTTGGTCAACGAGGCATAAGAACTTATCAGTTCAATAACACTTTACTCTCAATGTCAATCCGGACACAATTTATCTGAACCAAGAACTATATAGACCAGGAACCGCCATATCTAATCCGTCAAATTTGTGTACTGCAGTGGGAGGCGATCAAAACAAAGAATTCAGGGGCAAAACATCAATTATGAGGGGGGGGGG